CCCCCCCAAAAAAACACAAAAAACCCCAACCAAATAAATACAAATGTGCTTATTATTTATTTATTTTGATTTGGTTGTCAATCAGCACAACCAAAGACAACCCTAATATCCAGAGCGGGACACAAAAATGTAAATGAAGCTGTCTTCTCACACTCCATACTTCCATTTATGGACAGCTGCAGCTACACAGTCTCAGGGGCATGAGTGCACCTTGGTTCAGTTTGTTTTAGAGTGAGAGGGGTGCTCAGCATTGAAACTGTTTGTGCATTCATTATAAATCATAAAATTTTCAAAGAGCAGTGAGACAGATTCAGGTGGTTTAGATTCTGCAGCTATTGATTGTTTCAATAATTGGTTGTTTCGAAATTTTTTGTTTAATCTAAAGAGAGTTGCTTTTAGTAAATTAGCATTTTAAAATAATAAAAAAAAAGTATGTGGTATTATACAATTCTTCTGCAGAAAAAACATACAAAATACTTTATCTGTGTGTCATTTAACAGGATGTGATCGAGGCCATCGCTGAGAGTGCATTCAAGACTTCAAAATTTCCCGTCATTCTCTCATTCGAGAACCATGTTGACTCGTAAGAACCTTTCTTAATAATAACATAATCTAAAAACATATTGACGCCATTTTAAAAAGGAATATCAATTGAAAATAATTACATTTTTTTTGCAGATCTAAGAAAATTAACAGATGTTTTGTTTTGTTTTCAGTGTGAAACAACAGGAGAAGATGGCTAACTACTGCAAAACCATATTTGGTGATGCTCTGCTGACAGAGCCCCTGGAAAAATACCCTGTAGGTTTATTCTTGTGACACAACTTTCTGCCAAATAGATAATTCAGATCTGTTTTTAAGAAATCGAAAGAAAAAAAAAATGTTTTTAAAATAATAAGAACCGAAACGCTCTTTTGTCATGGACTAAATCATCTATTAAGTTTGATAATGTTCAGTTGAATTAATTTCACTTTTCAAGAACCTTCTGTGCAATTATACATATGAATTTACAACCTGAAAAATTTTGAACTATCATAAAAAATATTTGATTGAATTTACTTTATTATTTTCTTCATAACTCTTGAACCAAGCTCAAGCCAGGGCAGCAGATCCCGAGTCCATCTGAACTTATGGGCAAAATCCTCATCAAGAACAAGAAGGGAAGCCATGAGAAGCCAGCCCAGACAAAGAAACCCAGTCCCGCCGTCACTGACCAGACTGCTGCAGCTGAACCTGCCCAAGAGCCAAATGCTTCTTCTCAGGATGGAAGTGACCCAGCAGCTCCCACCCAGGAAAACCAAGGTGCACTCAAAATATCTAGTGTGCAACATTAACGGTATGGTCTAGGCTCATATGTTTGCAATGTAATACCCTTATAATTATGTGTTGGAAGCTGAGGGAGAGGGAGCTCCAGAAGACAATGAGGAGCAAGAGGATACTGAAGAACAGGATGAGGAGAAAATGAAGACATCAGATGAGGTGAAATATGAAAGTTTCATATTTTTCCAGTAGGAAGTGAAAAAAAAACACTTAACTACCCGTTGACTCTCCAACAGGGCACGGCTGGACAAGAAGTGACTGCATATGAGGCAATGTCTTCCATAGTCAACTACATCCAACCCAACAAATTCATCTCTTTTGAAAATGCCAAAAGTATACCACTAGCTTATATAACACACATACCTTTAACAATTCTGTTAGAGTTAGAAATATTGTTTTTTATTTGTTTCTTGTTGTTATTTACAGAGAAAAACAAGAGCTATGTCATCTCATCCTTTGTGGAAACCAAAGGGGAGGCGATGATTGCCAAGACTGCTGTTGAATTTGTGGAGTATCCTTAAATCGAGTTACAGATGCTTCCATTGCATTTAAAAACAACAAACACAGAAAGTAATGAAAAAAGGATTTAATGCCTAAAATTATATTTCCGAAACCTTATTTCATAGATACAATAAGAGACAGATGAGCAGGATTTACCCCAAAGGAACACGAATGGATTCTTCCAACTACAGCCCCCAACCCTTTTGGAATGTCGGCTGCCAAATGGTGGCCCTCAACTACCAGACTATGGGTATGATACCACAACTACAAACAGAAGCCTCACATGTTATAAAAACAAACAAACAAACAAAAAAAACTAATACTTTTCTCTAGTTTGACAATTTTTTCCCCTTTAAAGTGCAACTTAATTTGTTCGCCACTAGAGGTCAGTGTTGTGTCTATTTGTGCTGCACTGACCTCAGCTGTCATCTGCATCCCTTTTGCCTGTGTTGCTTCAGAAGCTGTTAATGAGTCCTGTTTCTGTGTATTTTAAGATTTCCCCATGCAGCTGAACATGGCCTTGTTTGAATTCAACGGCAGAACAGGTTACCTCCTCAAACATGATGTGTTGCGCCGTAGCGATAAAAAGTTTGACCCTTTCTGTGACAGGATCGACACTGTAGTGGCAAGCACTTTGACCATAAAGGTATGCTTATCATTCTCTTTTTGCATTATCAAAAAAGCATTCTTCAAGCCAGCAGCTTAAAAAATAAAGACCACTGCACCTCTGCAATGCATGCACCTAAACAGGAATAGACTATTAATCAGATAAGTAGTTGAGATTTTCTATAGTCCCTTTGCTGAGCTGAAGAAAATTAGGTGAGACTATTTTAAAAAGGACAACTATGTATTGTGTTTGTGTTCCACAAATGTGGCATGGAATAAAAGATGAAATATTTGGCTCGCCTACAAAACACAATAGAAGCATCATACTGGTGGGGGAGGATGGGTATCTTTTCCTTAGCAGTGACAGGAGAGTTGGTCAGAGATGATAGGAAAATGGATTGAGGTAAATACAGGGCAATCATGAAAAAAAAGGGTTAACATTACAAACAATTAAATTAAAACCTTTAGAGACAACAGGCATAAGAAGCAGCCAGAGCTGCAGTAGAATTGTTTAGATTCAGGGTTTCCAAGTCCATTCTTTATGAGCTACTTCATGCAACTTTTAGATGCATTCCCTCTCTAACACATCTGAATTAAAGATTCTTTTGTTTCTTTGGGGCATCTTCCATTTGATTTAGGTTTGTTGGAGAAGAGATGCATCTAAAAGCATCAGCAGCTTTTGCAAACTGGATGTTGATACTTCTGGTTTATATAATATTTATGTGTTAAGACCCCATGAAAGTCAGTGACAGAACTTAAAAATTGTTTAGTCAGTCTCTTAGTACTCTAATCCAACAGTGTCAGAGCAAATTTACCAAGAATAATGATTAAACATGAAAATCTCTAAATTTGTAATGTTGACAGACGTACATTCATATAAATACTTAACCCATATTTTGAGATTTTTTTTTTATTTTACTAAATAACAAATTCCAATTCACTTGTTTACATATTTTTTTTAACCACAGACCAATTGAATAAACCATGTTGCATATTAATTAGTTTAATATATATATTTTTATTCTGTATTGGAAATAAATACACAGACAATTTCTTGTTTTAAATAAATAAGGTTTATTATTAAAAATCAATATGCAACATGTACGGTTTATTTAATAGGTTTCTGTTTAAATTCCCTAAAAAAAAAAAAAAGTGAATGGGAAATAGTTATGTAATAAAATGACATAAATCTTAAAATTGGGGTGAATATTTTTGAGAGTAGCATAAAAAAACATAAGTATTGAAGGAGCTTCCTACAAATGCATACCATAAATGTTTTGCTGAAACTTTGGAAAACCATCATCATCAAAATTTAAGGCCACATAGAAGTGCAGCAACACTTATAGTGTTGCATTAAAACTCTTTTGCATGCTTCAGTCTGAGAAATAATTAGCTTGGGTAATTCTGGGAAGTGCGATCATGTTTTGTTTGGATTCAGTGTATTATATCAGCCTTCTGCTGTGACTAAAACATGTTTCTTAGTATTTTATCAGACCCTGCATGAGCCACAACCTCAGCTCTATTTATAACCACTGTTTCATTAGTGTGGATGGTACATCATTCATCAATTCTGTGATTTGGTATTTGTGCTTTATTGAATCTTATTCATCTGCCCCACCAGATCTATTCAGGACAGTTTCTTTCCGAAAAGAGTGTGAGAACCGGGGTTGAGGTGGAGGTGATTGGACTACCAGGAGACCCCAAGAAGAAATATCGCACCAAGTGGTCCACCACGCCCAATGCCATTAACCCAGTGTGGAATGAGGAGCCTTTTGTCTTTGAGAAGGTGGGCAGTGCAGCACTAAATGGGTCCCAGTGAGCATCCCTGCTCTCATACTGAATATAGATGTTATTTATAGATCCTGCTTCCAGAAATGGCATCTTTAAGAATCGTTGTGCATGAAGAGAATGGGAAATTTGTGGGACACAGAATAATCCCCGTCGATGCCATCCAGTCAGGTCAGAGAGTCAGCAAAACACCCCAGGGCTGTTCAGCAGCACAAATGGAGATGCTATGTTGATAAGATCTGTTTTTATTTGTGCCCTTCAGGTTTTCATCACATCTGTCTACGCAGTGAGAGCAACATGCCTCTCACCCTGCCTGCTCTCTTTGTGTACATAGAGATCAAGGACTACATCCCTGCTGCCTTTGCAGGTGTGTTTTTTTTTCTTTTTCCACATTGGGAGGTTAAAGATTCAATGTGCCTGCAAATGACAAGAGGGAAGTAAAGATGCAAAAAAGGGAATATCATCAATCATTACATACAATGATATAATTCAACTCTTCCAAAAACATAGTTGATGATTATATTGCATGTATTATAAATTTAAAAAGTCTAAAAATTCTGTGTAAAATATGATTTTTATCAAATTTTCTGAAAAGCTGGAAGCCATAATTAAAAATATCATAAATTTATTAAATCTATAACCTTTAATTTATACATTGCAAAATGATCTTTGATAATGTTCATACTTACTGAGAAAAAGATGTATGTTTGTGAGGGTTTTCCTGATCAATGTGTTTGACTCCATCCTCAGATTTCACAGATGCTTTATTTAACCCAACAAAGGGCACAGAAAAGACCTCAAAGACCCCTAAAGAGGTAAAATGATGATTATAAAACCTTACAGCTGTTCCTGGAAGATGACAATCTTAGCTGGATTGTTCCTGTCCTGTTCTCTAACCCCTGCAGTCATCATCTGACTACGTCTCTCCCTATGAGTTGCCGCTTGTGGATCAACCCCCTGCAGGTAAAGCCAAGGAAACGGAGGCCTCTGCTGAAGGTAATAAACTAGGATTCTGATCTTTATGTCACTCTTCTATAGTGTATAACTGCCTGATTTATGGTGTCATTACTTTTCTAGAAAAGGCATCATTGGAACCTAAACCAAACACTGACACAAATGACAGCCCAACTGAGTCTCCCTCTCAAAACAGCTCAGAAGAAGCTAAAGAGCAGCCTGAGCAGTCTCAAACCCTTAATGCCACTCCTGCTAAAGATGCTGAACAAGATGCAGGAAATATTGAAACTCAACCTCCTCCTGAAAACACTCCATCTACCGAGGGAGTGGGCCTAGAATCAGAGAAAGCTCCTGAAGCCAAAGAGGATGCTAACCTTAAGTCAGACAACAAAGAGGCACCTGATGCATCTTCATCTGCTTCTGAGGAACAAGCTCCTGTAGAAGAAGCTTCTGTGTCTTCATCCATAGCAGCAAATGCATCATCAGAGTCGGTAGAAGCAAGTGACTCATCTCAGTTGCCAGCTAGTAGTGAAGGTAACAAATAAGTGCTTCATCTGCTTCATCTATTTTCCCTTCTATCACTGCAATGTTATTAAAGGTTGCATAGCCTAAAAAATTAAAATCAATTTTGAAAGTATTTACTTAATCAAACTTTATTATGCTCTGAAAGAGGGAGGATTCCTGCAGCATTTTCCTGTTTTATTTCACTGCAGAGCCTTGCACTGTGACTGTTGAGCAACTCACTCAGCACAAGAACTATCTGAAGGTCATCAAGCGCCAGGAGAAAGAGATGAAAGATGCTGAAAAGAAATATCAGAAAAAAGCTGAAGATCTGATTCAGAAATACTCTGACTCCTTCAAGGGCATCAAGAAGAAGCTTTCACTAAAGAAAAAAGAGTATGTGGATATTTTTTCACTGGTTTAAATCATTTTAAATCAACAAAAACAGGCTGTTTGGCTAAAAGAGGTTTTGATCATGTGGAAGTGTTCAGAGATTTTTCAGTTCACTGATTTGTGTTCCTGCAGAACCGTGCTGAATATTAAAGCGTGGCTGTTGTTTTGGTCAGGGTTATCAGCAAGATTATCTCTAGATGCATGTATAATATTTAGCAATCTACCAACTTCCCTAACCGAATATTAAGTGATGCATACATTTATCAAACGGGTTTTGCCTGCAGTTCTTTTTACATACTTATTGTGCACTTATTAACTATTTCTTTGCAAATGTGCTAGCTTTAAATATGCTATATGTCTACCAGGGGGGAGGGCAACACGTCTGACAATAATGTGAAGAAAGAGAGAGTCCAGGAGCAAAAGAACAAAATGCAGACTGAGTTGCAGGCTCTATGGACAGAACAGTTTGATCAAATGAAGAAGAAGAAAGAGCAGTTTGCTACTGAGGTAAGCCAAACCTAAATTATACAGTCCTCTGCAAAAGTTTTTTCCTACAATCATTTGAAAACTCTTACAGAGTACAAGCATAAACCTCCATGCATGATATCATTTGATGGAAAAAACAAAATCAATGTTTTATTTTGAGAAATAAAAAACAATAATTTTCTTAGATTTTTAATCAACTGAAAAGTGTGTTGTGGATATACGGTATGTCCCAACCGAGCTGTTGGTCACTGCAGCTCCTCCACAGTTGCCATAGGCCACTTGGTTGCTTCTCTAATTAGTATTCCCCCTAGAGAGGGCCATCTTGGTGGGTTACTGTTAATCTTCTATCCATTCGTATAATGCCTTTAAAAGATTTTCAAATCATGGGATAGCACTTTATAATCTAACTCCATATTATATTTCCACACAACTATATCCCTGATCTATGTGGTGCACGGGTATTGGAGTACAGGGATGCTACTCAGTGATGATGTTGGTAGCACTGCTGCCTTGCAGCAAGAAGATGCTGGGTTTGATTCTGCATGGAGTTTGCATGTTCTTCGGGTACTCTGGCTTCCTCCCATAGTCCAAAAACATGATAGTTAGGTTAATTGGCTTCTCTAAATTCACCTTAGGTCTGAGTGTGTGCATGAATGGTTGCTTTTCCTGTTTGTCTCTTTGTTGCCCTGCAATGGACTGACAACCTGTCCAGGGTGTACCCTGCCTCTCGCCCATAGACAGCCGGAGATAGGCACCAGCATCCCTTCCGCTTGGGATAAGCGTGACAGAAAACGGATGGATGGATGGATGGATGGATGGATGGATGGATGGATGGATGGATGGATGGATGGATGGATGGATGGATGGATGGATGGATGGATGGATGGATGGCTTAAAGCTCAGTGCCTGTTTTCCACAGTTCTATTACAGAGAAAAATGCTTAAAATTGTGCAATCTTTTTCTTAATTTTTCTTAATTTGCAAAAAGCATCACTTTTAGTTGACCTGTCACACAAAAATCATATTAAAACATTTATCATCTTGATGCAGCGTCAATTAGCAAGCTCAATTTTTTAAAGTTATTTCTTTGGGTGTTTTATCTGAACACTGGCCCACTTTCTGCTTCCACAAAGGGATGCACGGGCAGCAGGGGGATCTCTGCAGACCTCATGCAAGACTGACAGCAAGCTTTTATTTATATTGACTCAGAGCAGCAATGTGAGTGCTTTTAAGGTGATTCACTCTGCACTAAATTGAACACTTTGAGATAGTGGCTTAAAAAAAGCACATTTTAGCAAGATATTTTGCACCTGGGTTTCAGAAGTACTAAAGAAGCAAAAACTGTGCCCTTAGTTGAGTTCCCAATTTGAAAAATCCCTTTGCATGTGGTAAATGTTTATATTTGCATATTCTCTAAACATGAATTTGCGCAGTTTAGTCATTAGAATGTGATCTGCATACTAATGAAGGCAAACACACAAAAAAGGTTTGCACATGCTGTCTGGTTATTTACAAATGCAAATCACATTGTACCTTCTTAGAAGATCTTGCACCTGTTTTAAGACATGCAAACCTTCTGAAGACCAGGCCCTAAATGTTTCCTGTTAAAATTACTCATATTTGGTTAATTTCATGTTTTTATTCTAAGATCTGACCCACATGCAGAAAACCAAACAGAGAGACCAAGGGAAGGTTTAACAGATTTATTGACAACTGGTAGAGGTGGGTCCAGTGCTGCTCTGAACACTGGCGAACCGGGACTGAAAAGTGAAGGGGAAGTTCCTGTGGTTAGTTCAGGTTCAGTGGGAAATTTGAGCTTTGATTTGCAAAAGGGAATAAAGGCAACAGGACTCACGTTTCTTGTAAAGGTGTCTTTCTCTGAATCCAGTCGGTGTGGTTCCAGTAATTGACTTGCTCGTTGGAGGGTGGACAGGGTTTACCCAGGTTAGGGTGTTTCCTTGAGGAACGGAGGAGCTGACTGCCACTTAGATTTCCAATGGTACTTCAACGGTTACTTGTGGAGGTGAATCCCTTGCTCAGTGTGAAACTCAAACAATTCCTTGGGGAAAGGTTGGTCCAAACCTCCAGTTTGAATCCCCAGCGCAGTTTGAAGCTCAGATGATCCTTCCAGGAAGAGAAGGTCCAAAACATCCAGTTTACAGGATGACTTCCAAAAACTGGCAAACACTCTAGCCTTGAGGAAGTGGCAGTCAGCAGCTTAAGAGTCCTCAGGTAATGAGGCAACCATCTGCAGGTGTGTGAGAGGGCCAACGAGAACCAGGCGTCACCTGGTGGTGGAGGGAGAACACTTAAAACCAGAATCACAGAAACTTTTTTAAAAGAATATTTTTGTTTTTTTTCCAAAATAAGCATGTTTTATGCTTGCTCTATGACCTATTAAAAAAAAAACTGCACCTGACTTTATTGCCCATCCCCTAATAACCATTTTTGTATTATCAAGATGTCTTACAAAATCATCTCAGTCAAAATAATTCTGGTTGAAGGAATGGAACATTCTTGCAAGCAGCACTGGACCCTTCTCTACCAGTTCTCAACAAACCTGTTAAACCTTCCCTTGGTCTCTTGTGTAAGGGAAGACAAAGGGCCCGAATCTTCAAAATATTCAAATACGGAGTGCTAAATTGAAATTTAACACTCCGTATACTCCGTCGTGAGGGATGCTGGTGCCTATCTCCAGCTTTCTATGTCTACACCTTAGACAGGTCACCAGTCTATTGCAGCGCAACAAAGAGACAAACAGGACAAACAACCATTCACGCACACACTCACACCTAAGGAGAATTTAGAGAAACCAATTAACCCAACAGTCATGTTTTTGGACTGTGGGAGGAAGCTGGAGTGCCCATAAAGAGGCCATGCATGCATGAGGAGAACATGCCAAATCCATCCAAACTCCAGAAAGAAGAACTGCATCCAGGAATCGAACCCAGAATCTTCTTGCTGCAAGGCAGCAGTGCTACCTACTGCTTCCTGTGTAGTCCTTTACACATGATAGTATTTATGAAAAATTATTTATAATTTATGCACTTCACATGTAAATATCTCAAAGTATACAAAAAAGTAAAAGAGGGGTAATAATATATACAACATATACATTATATGTCATATAAAGTGTAATCATTTAATACAGCATCCCAATTTTAAAATCAATTCTATCAAATACTGAGCGCTGTTCCTTTATGGTGGGGTCACCACTGCGAGTCAATTAGACCTGTTGACAAACTTGGCAAAGTTTTTAACGTCCTGATTTGAAATTTAAAAAATCTGATTTTAATCTGATCGAATCTTAGAAACTGGTTATGGGTCTTTTTTCACATTCCCCCTCGACATGTAACCTTGGACAGTAAAAACAATCTCTCTACAGTTGCTCTTCAATCGCCCACAGTAGGGTTTTTACACAAAATATCACAACGATCATATAATGAATAACTTTTTTTGCTAATTAACTTTTGAATAGTTATGTATATTTATATATATATAATAAAGCCATATTATGCTTTTGAATAAAATATGGTCTAACCTGAGAACAAATAATCCACAATTCCTTACTTTCTTTAATCAGTTTCAAATACTGATAAGCCTAAAAGCAAATAACAGCTAATTAGTAGAGTAATTACCTTTTAAACAAATATCAATTCCATTTATTAGTGATATTTTATACTTTTTCCAGTTTTCTTAACTGTATCCAAATTGGACTCAGTCGAATATTCTTATATTTTAAGCTTTGAGCTTCTTTATTCCTTCCTGAAATCATGGAGTGGTTCTGTAGCCATGATAATAAGTGGGTTATTTTTGCTCTGTTAGATTTTCACAGTACAGTTGGACCTATTATTCTGTTCTTCTATTATTATAAGAAGGACTTTAAAATTAGAATCTGAAAGAGAAAATCTGAATGCGTTTCTAATATAGCCTTTTAATATCTAGCAACCGCTCAGTCATCTCTTGGCTGTCTTTATTTAACTCAGAGTGAATTCACCTTTCTCCTGTAGCAGCTAATTTTATTTCTCTTTGTTGTGTGTGGGTTTTTTTATCATTACAAAAGGCGTTAAGAGACTAAGAGGTTTTTCTCAATTAATACATTTAAATGGTACAGCGGCTCTGTTAGGTGATATTATAACTCTGGTCACACTAATCCCTTGCAAATAAACAACTGAAACATTAGAGCTGCTTATGTCTCATATGGGTCTTTATACTGACTGTGATTGTGCACTTTCTTTGTTCTGTTGTGACAGAGACTTGCTAAACTATTGGAGACGGCCATGGAGAGACACACCATTGAGCTGAAGACCCTGGAGAGGTAGGAGCACACATGCAAACCAATGGAGACACAATGCACACATCAAAAAAGCTTTGCTGATTCCCTCTAATCTGTATCCTGAGGTTTCAGTGGGACTCTGACTGTGTCCTGTGTGAGTCATCTGAGGTGAAAATCTTGACATTTGGCAAAGAGAATATATCAAATGCTGAATGAATCACCTCAGGAGGCTGGTTTTCCTATGTCCTTGGCTGGCTTATGGTGTTAGGTGTGTGTTGTCCAAAGTCCCCAGTGGGCAGATGGTTCGTTGAGGACAGTTATTACCAAACAGGTGTTTAAACAGTGTGGAAGTAGAAAGCAGCTCTGATAAGATCATACCCTGCAACTCTTCATTTAAATATATTTGTTTTTTTTTTTAGAAACTTGCTATTTTACATCACTAACCATCTTCTTTTCATTTTCATCATAGTGAAACCAAAGAAAAGAAGAAAGCACTAAAATGTTCCTCCACAGACAAGTCAAAGTAAGTTCATTTCTGAATTAGATTTTGTTTTTTCTCAGTTTTTTTCATTTTGTAATGTGAAACTAAAATAAGTAGAATTTATCTAAAAATAATATTAGCTCTAAAAACATCCTTAAATAAAAAGATAATTAATTTTCAATATACATGTGATATTATTTAAACTATTTTTATTCAGGCTGAAAAGGGCCATGAGCACAGAGATGCTGGATGAGACGAGTCAGACGGATGCTGATGTAAGTCAACACCAATAGTTTTACTATAAGTACACTTGAACATATAGTTGTCTCCCACTTTATTATGTAGACTTTACTTTACAAGCAAATAATTTAACTAATTCGCTGTGCTATATATTTAACAGTATTTTCAAAGGATTCCTCTGAGATTTTGATCCATGTTGACAGGATAGTATCATGTAATTCCTGTAGGTCGTCTTGATGGCATATAAGTGATGCAAAACTGCCATTCCACCAAATTACTAAAGATGCATCATTGTATTTGAGATCGGGTGACTGGGGAGGCCATTGGGCAACAGCAAACTCATTGGCATGTAAAAGAAAACAGTTTGAAGTAATTTAAAACAGTTTAATCTCCGAGTTCTGGTCAAAGATGTTCAGAAACAGATGTCAGATGATTCAGGTAGGAAAAAAAATTGCCTCACCATGGCTGTCTTTCTTTCTAATTTGCCAACCTTGGGTAAGGTTGGATCACTCTAAGCCCAAATAAGGTCCAGAAAATAAAAAGAAAATGGCTTTTCCATGTTCATCTTGTTGAACCAATTTTTATTTTCAACATTGTGACCATGAATTGCCAGTAAATTTGAAAAAAAATTGTAAGAATTGTTACCCTAGGCATGTTACAGCAAACTTGTTTACATTTTGTATGCCCACATGTTGCTTCCACAAACACAGACACCGACATTGTTTAACTGTAAGTACTCCCACACCTGAAATAATCAGTGTGGATCTCAACCCACAGTAAGTCCTCATTGTCTAACACCAACAGTCTCTTTTCACCTTTTGAATACTGTGCAGCAGACCCTAACCGTGGGACAAGCTTAGCCATTACTCATAAGCTTCTCACAGGGAACGAGGAAATGCATGTGTGGTCGGTGACTCACTCAGCTCTGCTTTTGTTCCTCTGTCAGCTCATCAGGATTCAGATCTGATATACATGAGTTAATGAGCAGCTACTTTAACTGGGCGCTGCAACTCAATCTGATATCCCGCCCCCCCCCCAAAAAAACTCTATCCCAATTCCACACATTTATTTGATCTGCATTGCAGAACTTATCAACTTAATCAGCATTATACATTAATTACCACAAATACTTACATCACAAACGCTTGTTTAATCAGCAGTGGCACAGTATTGAGTGTTGGGGCTGAGTAGTCTTAGTGAGCCGAACTGGTGACTTAACTGTATTGATCCTCTCTCAGGTTGCACTCCACAGGGATACGTACGTAAACTCGCCGGGGAAACATGAGTAGATAAACTACTTACAGACAAAACAGCTATCTGTATATTCCTCTCCCTACATGCACAAACAGACAAATGGGTTCATAGGAGCCGAAAACCGCAAATCAATGTAAGATGTTTTGAATTTTCCTCTGTTACAGTCCGCAGAGTACAGTCCACAACAAGAGGCACTGATGAAGAAACAGGCTGCTACCCTGGAGGAAGTCAAGGGAATGACTAATCAGGTAAACACTCTGACATCAAGGGGCTCGTTTTTGGTTGCTAACATGATTTTTGATAGAAACCTGAAACTGAAATAGGGATGATAGCTTCCTTTGAGAAAAGTATTAATGCCTCATTAGCTGTTTTTTTTCTTGATATTTTGTCAAACTGCATACATAGACTTCTATTCTGTTGAGATTTTATGTAATAGACTAATATGTATAATATGAATCTGAAGGAACAAATAAAAAAGAAATAATGAAAAGAAGGAACCGAAAAACAAAATTGTATTTCTACCCATTCTCACCTGCAAAAATGTCCAGATTCAGTTGGATTGGAAAGATGGTGTCAGTGGACTGGACATTAATTTAGACTCTAGGTAGAGATTCTTAGTTGCTTAAGGTCCAGCAAAACACGGTGTTGTATGTATATGGATTTATTCTAATCCATTGTTGCTCTGACTGGAAGCTTTGTTTTCTTCATCTGTCTTAAAGGCAGTTCAAAATAAACTATGGACATTTGTATGTTTTCATGTATTTGATGAAATAATGCCTTTAGCACAACAGAGTATTATTATTATTTTTTATGAAATATTAATTATTTTCTTCCAGTATGGAAGAAGAACACTTTCCTTCAAAGCCAAGCCAGCTCTTCCTATCTGAGTGGTGCCCATTTCATATTACTTTATCACATTAAATCTAAAGGCAAAATAAAGTCTGAGACCTTTCATGGTTAAAAGAAAAATAATTTTCATGAATTAGACATTGGCTTAAAAAAAAGGACCTGCTCAGATTAGCTGCTAAAAGATGGACTTCATCTCAACATTGAGCCCTGCCTAAAATCTTCCCAGATCAGATATTTATCATGATCTTATAGATATGCATTAGGTTGTATTGGTCTATAAAAATAAAAAGACTGTTGTGACAAATGTTAAAACATTTATATTACAATTTCTGGTATAAATATGTATCCTTATTGAACCTAAGTAGATGCACAAATACTGCTATAAACAATCTCTATTTTGTGCATCTATGTAATGCGTAAGTGTGACACATCCAGTGAAGGTGATGGAACAGAAACAGCAGAACAAGCTCCCACAGCTGTAAATGATGTCAAACCTCTTTCTGTGCAACGCTTGCCTTTAAATCGCAGAAAACTTGGCACCCAATGTTGAGAAAAGAGCTGCGAGATCATTAAGAGATTGACGTGTAAAGGCCAGATGGTTGGTGGGTCTTAACAATAGTATTAGCCTACAAATCCAGTTTCTGATGTGCGAAGCAGTGGGTGGACGTGCAAGTGCAAATAAATAGAGAAATAAGGACCAATTCAGCAATTACATAGTCTTGCATTACAACCAGATTATTTATTTTATTGGCATGCAATGTTCATATTTATTAACATCGATCGTCAGTTGGATAAGTAGGAAGAATACTCAGAAAAAATCCCCAAAATATTCTGTAAAATGTAACAAAACATAAAGTTTCTTGTGTGAAGAAAATCACACCTGTCCGACATTTATTTGTTTCTAGAATACATGGCTATATCAAATTGGAGGCAGATAGACCATTGTTACTTAAGATTTTGAAAGAGATTTGGTGTGTTTCCAGGTATTTTGTTCACTGTTCTTGTTGAAGTAACGTGAACAGAGAGTGAGCAGCATGAGGCCCTAAGAAAGAAGAATGTTGCAACTCATAAGTCTGGTGAGGGATGTAAATAAGTTATCGGAGAATGTGGCCTTCTCCTGTATAAATTGAAAAGCATGGCTTGCCAGTTCACAAGTTTATTCAAAGCATATGGAAGTTTGCTAAAAAAAAAAAAGTCTTCAAGGACCTTAAAATGTTATCAGAGAAGCCAAAACAGGCTTTTGTTGGTGTTGATATGAAAGTCAATTCCGTTAAAGAAGCATTATGGAGTTTTCTAACAATACTGCCACCTGTGGCCAAAACACAGAGCTGAAGCAGTGTTCTGCTCTAACCTTGTCTCAAACTCGGCAAGGTTATCTTTTTTACTTTTTTTCATTCACCTTACCTGGAGTTGTCATTGGTGTCTGAGTTGAGCTGGTTGCTTCTGAGTATCCACAAAACCCATGTTGAATATAACACTTTAATTGTTTGCTAGTTCTGACCCATTCAACATGGACATGCTTAACATCACAACCACCAAACAGCGCAAAGGCCAGATCTTCTGCTGTTATGTCGTCTGTATAGATAATTTTCACAGCTCAGAACAGAGGACCCAGAATTAGAAACAGACAGGCGTACCTCTCAGAAGTGTTTATAAAGAGACCTCGGATCTGCAATTGAGCAGCTAGGGCATCTAATACTGGAATCTCTGCAGAAAGGAAAACTCTGTTTAGTGACCATGTAAATCTGATGGAGGATGATCATGAATGCGGGAGTAACTAACCTGGTCTTAGAGTTGAGTCCGTGCCCAGAGGAAGGAGTGGCATCTAGTAGAATGGCTGCCAACAACACGCGGCAAATGCCGTCTAGAGAGTTTCAGGAGCCAAAGCCTTAAAAATTGCAGAACTGGATGACGAGCAGATGCAAGCAGATGAAGAAAGGCAGGACTTTCAGAAAGACAAATCCAAAGCTAGTGTTGAAGAGGTTCACAAGAGTCCAGGCCAGAAGATCAGAGATTCGAATGTACTGACGGGAAATCCAGGTCAAAGTCAGGAGGCAGATCCTGGTTAAGTCCGCAGGCAGTTCCGGCAGGATTCCGAAGATAGCTCAGGCAAATGGATCAGAACAGGTACAGGCAGGCTCAAAGGCAAAATGGGTCAGGATCAGGCAATCAGAACAAAAACAGGCACGCCAGAGAACTCTCATCAAGGGCTAGAATACTGGCACTGATGACTGGAAGCAGGCAGGTTAAATAGAGTACAGGTGGATAAGATGAACTGAAACTGGGTGGAGCTAGGCAGGTGAATGGAATGAACCATTAAGCCATCCATCAGTGCCAAGATCATGACAATAATCTAGTTTTTCAAGACACCACATTATCAGAACATCATACTAACTGTGAAATACTGAGTTGATATGTCTTGGTTTAAGACCACCATTTATTTATAGAGAAGATGATTGTTTCTGATGGAAATAGAGGTAGAACACAGCCCGTCACCAAAGATCTTCTGGTTTGAAAAGGGGTCTGATTTTAAAAAGTCCATTTTGGCCATGACTCTTCTTACACTAACTTCATCTGCCAGACTTATGACAAATTAGTCTGGATTTACTCTGACTGAAGACCCCAAAATATTTTTCTAATGCGGATAAGATAGTTCCAGCCTAGAGAGTATTGACAAAACCTCAGCTTAAATCTGCTGAACTATCCTTTAAATCCAGCTCTGAAGTAAGATGTATTGTGTGTCACAACAAATACAATCAAAGGAAATACAAAACGATTTTGACATTGGGATGGTAGAATCATTTTGAAAATTAACATTTCCTTTCTGTGCTTGCAGCTAATCCAGGAGGCGCTAAAAGAGCACGCTCAGAAAATGAGGTCTCTCCCAGAAGAAGTGAGGAATGCTGTTAATGTGTGCGTGGGGGCGCACTTCCCAGAACATGTTGATGAAACTGGGGACAAAAAGCCTGCTTGTGAGAGCTTCTATGGAAATGTCTTTGTGGGTTAGATGTACTTTGTGATCCTTTGTCTCTTCGCTTCATGCCTCTTATATTAATGCTTCCATTTTGTTATATAACCTTAAACTGGAACATTGCTTTAAAGTAGACAAGGATTGCTAGCAGAGCTCAGAGTGAATTTTAGAAATCAGATGTGCTATTCATAGCAGGAGTGTCCTTTAGGAAGTAAAAGCCATTAATGTTATCCACTTGAATGTACTCTATCCCAAAGCAAGATGGTTTTAACATTTTTTTCTGACATTAAGAATTACTTCTTTCTGCACTCCTAGGTTAAAAACTAGAAATACATTTTCATCATAAGGTTATTTTTAGTATAAATCTAAAAGTCTGTTTTTCCCGTATCTTTACAATTGTGTATTTTGATAGAGCTTTCGGATTAGTCATTCGAAACTGATTAATAAAATAGAATTTAATTTTGAATGAACACATTTTAATCTTTATTTCTCCATCTCACAATAGCTTTTGTTTTTATTTGACTTATTATTGGATTTAAGTGTTTAAAGGACTTGTAATATCAAATACTTGGCATGACCTTTAAAGTAAAACCTTAATTGATTGGCTAAATATATTTCCTCTTTGAAAACCCAATGTTGTAATTTCCTTTGTTTTCATAGAACTGTGGCAGCATGAGCTACCTTTTGTGGAATGTAATAAAGTTCAATTCATTCTTCCCTTTAATAGTAACATTTGCAAAAGCAGCATTAAATAAAATGAAACTTTAAAATGAAACTTTGAAATGTTTATGTACCGTAATTAATTATTATCTATAAGAAATCTTTTCTGTAGTTAATAAACTCAAATCAACTCTTCATGCATTTTTTTGTTTTTTTATTCACAGATCAAAATGAATCAAAGACATAAATCACAATGAGTTAAAATCAAGAATTATCCTGGAAAATTATGAACATCACTGAGCATTAAGCTGTCTGTTCCCCATATTCTGTCTGTTTCTTTAATGCTCATCAAGCAATTTAATCAGTCAGAGTCTCGTATGGTCTCCTCCACAGCCCCTCTGGTCTCCATACTCTCTGGTGAAAATAAGATCCTGAATCCATGTGGTCCTCATGGTGTGTTCATGAGAGTGCAATTACTGTTCTTATCAGGATCAACGCTGTCTTTACTGAATAATTCATAATTTACACAAACTTAAGTGTAGTCAAAACCAGATATTCTTATCAAAGTTACTTTTATTTTAGCTTTAAAGTTGGCATTACAATCATTACATTTAAATTATCTGTTGTTTTAATGGTAATTCAGCCTATTGTTTCAGGTTTCAATCGTAAAACATCAAACATGTCTTACCTTTCAATGCCTGGCAGTTGAAAGTTTTCTGTAATAGAAAGTTATCTGTAGTAGAATATCCTTCTGTATGTCCTACATTTGTTTTAGCTCTCCATAGAAGTTCAAATCACTCCAACTAATATTGATTAGTCTCATTTAATGAAGCACTAAAGAAACCTATGGATATTTAGAAAACATTTCTACAATTTAAGATTGAATTAATAGATTATCTAAAGAACATTTTAAAACAATTTTTATTCTCATCACAGCAAATTACGCTTAGTTTCTTCTAAAGTTATAACCGCATTTTCCAGTATACTCTTATACACTCCCCATTGAAAATCAAAAAGAGTTATTTAATTTCTAAGCAAAAACAGCTTGGCGCTGAGTCCCCTTCAAAAATTTCCTCGTCAGGCTTTGAATGTCAGTGCATAAAAAAACTCCCATGTGGAGCTTTGCATGTCCTACGTGTCTGAAACCGTGCGTATCTTTGTAAGTGAATGTATGTGTCTGCTGAGTCCCTGTGGGTGTATTTATGTGTGTGAATCTATGTGAGTGGATCTATATATGGGAAACTGGCCAGGACCCATCCTATGACTGGTCTTGGAAGAGAAAGTGTCTCTTAGAGCATTGATCCGCTCCAATTTGCAAAACAGTTCAAAGTTAGGACAAGATCAGGTTGAAGTTGAAGTGCCATAAGCACATGTAACTCACTAAGTTGTCATCAGTATTGCTTATATTGCAAGATGTCATCCTTCCTTTCAAACATTCGACCAAAAGTTGTTCTCAAATCTCTAAATACCAGTTTGCTGTTGCTACTTTATTATTTCTGACCTTAGAGGTTTTAGATGATTGCCCGTCACCTGCAGTTTCAGGTTATCCCCATTTAATGTTAGACTAATTAAAACTGACCAGACCATTTATTAAAAAAAAACAGTCTAGTTTATAATATAGTAAAACATTTCAAATGGACTACCCCACCCTCTGATGATATGAATAGTATTTAGTAAAATGCTCTAAATTGTTCTAAAATAATTCCCATCTTTCGCCTCTATGTTGATGTCATCATTGCTGATATATTCAAAGTTACCAAACCTAGATACTGGAGTGTTGTTCAGAAAGTTATTATGTCTATTTGTTGTTCCCTGTAAATGATAAACATCATTCATGGATTTACAAGAATCCATCTGTTTTTGGTAAGTCGCTAATTTCATCGTGTATAAGAAATCTGGTGTGTCAGTTAACTTATCTTTCGCATACGGGTTCTGTCCAACAATGGATGACCTTCCATCACCCCATCATTGCCAAAGCCCCTTTCTGTGCCTCCCCATATTGTAAGAAAAAGGACATCAGGTTATCCTCCTTAATGTCTGCATATCAGCAGCTGCACCCCATCCCTCCTTATGAAGTTCAGGTGTATAATTGGTCTCTGTCCCTGCTGTAGTGTAATCCTTCCTGTGGCTCAAGAAAGAAAGTGTCCAATGTCTCTCCAAAAAGGTCCATTGTTTATTTTCACATATTTTCCATCTTTAGTGTAATTTACTTCTTCAAATAATTTTAACAATATTATGATATATGTCTTTCTTAAAGCCTAAGATGTTAATAAACAAACAAAGAAGACAAACATGTAAGACAACAAACGTTTTCACTCAGATCCGTCCAAAAGGTAGGAACCGGATTTGGCTCTCAAAGGGTGCTCAGTTTCACTCCAAAGAAATCCATGATCTTCACACCCATATAATCAAATGTACCTTATGGGTCATATCAGAACCACAGAAAAATGAAAACATAACTTCAGCTCCCAAAGTTGTCCTTAAGCTTTCAGGCAGAAACAAAAAAAAGTGAGCTCACCATCTTAAAACACTATGGCTCAGTGAGGTCACCAAGAGCTCATATCAACCCAAACAAACACTCACTCACACATTTAGGCCCCTTCTCACGCTTCAATAAATCCCTTGCTGCAGTTTGATACCATCACTCTGGTGTACTAATCAATGGTTGGGATCCCTGTCCAGTTATAAATCTTTTCAGTCAGTACTTATACTAAGCCTATTATCAAAGTTCAGTTTGTGCTCCATTTCCAACCAATCTCTTTGGCTGCTCTCAGCCAATTTTATTTTATTTCTCTCTCCAGGTTTTCTGCACCTGCTGGAAAAATAATTTGTACACATCTTACACAAAATACAAGAGACTTTTCCCAGCCTGTACTGTGAAAAAATGTTAACATTCAAGGATTGTTAAAAAAAACACAGTCTGCAAAAACATCATAATTAAACAAAACAACCTCCTAATTCCCCTTTTCTCGACCTTCACAAATATTATGCCTGCATACTGTCAGCTTCATTGTCGCCGTATACAAGCAGGGCAAAAATAAATAATCTTGCAGGTTTTTTACTTAGAAAGGCAATTGAACTGTTCATCAGTTAGTCAACAGTGACTCATGGCATTCGGGAAAATTATTAGAATGTTCTACACATTTTCTACTCACTTTTCTACACTGGGTTCCCATTGAATACTGCATAAACTTTGAAATTCAGGTCCTGACCTTTGGAGCCCTGCATGGACGGGCTGCTTGATTCAGCCTCACTTTTCTGCTCGCAGTCTGAGATCTGCTGAAAATAATTTTTTAATGGTCCCTTGAACCCGAGAAGTGATAGGTCCTTCCAAGCTGTCGCACCCAGACTAAGGAATGCACCATCACTTTACCTGCACTTGATGAACTCCATGGATGATTTAAAAAACAAAAACAAACTAAAAATATTCTTTTTTAATCAAACATTTTAGACTCATTTTATCAATGGCTGCTGTGATTGTACTTATTTTGTCTACATGTATTTTGCATGGTGCTGTTTTGTATTTTATGCCTCATGCTATGATTGTATGTATTTTTCCTATATGTATTTTATATTGCGGTACTTTGTATTCTATGCCTCATATTGTACAGCACTTTGTGATGCTTGTCTGAGAAAGGAGCTATATAAATAAAAGGCACTTACTTACCGTATATACTTATTTACTTAGAATTTAAAGTTGTGCGAAGAAAGTGAGGATAAGATGAATAATGAAAGACAAGTGTTAGTACTGATTACTGATGTAAAGTAATCAGTTGGTCCAAACAGCATTATATTAACACATTAACATAACACTCTCTTACAATCTTTTGTATTCCTTATGGATTCAGACCAAACTGATAAAGAGATAATTAGAGTATTTTTACTGAAAAGGTTGTAATAGTTTTGCTTTATATATATATATATATATGTATTTTTGAACTTTTCAGAGTCAACTTTTTGACTCTGCACAGAGATATGTTTCATGCAAATTTTAAACTCTGCATTTCTCCTCAACCAGTAAAAAAAAAACGAACAAAAAAACAACACAAACTGCAAATCCTACGCTGTTTTAAAAAGTAAGGGTTTAACTTTCTTTTAAATAAAAGCACCTTCTAAGCCCTGCAGGTCTAATGCAGATTGTGATCTCTTAGGAGGGAGAACAGCTCCTTAATATGAATAATGATTCATATTCTTACAAATTAGCATTTTATTCTGACCGCATGGCGGGGGAAACAACACCTACTGGCGGTGATGACTGTCCAGTCTGGTTTCAGTAATTCCCAGTTTTATAGAAGTTAGTCAAAAGAGGAAGAGCCATGACTACATTTGAGATAATATATTGTTTTATACTTATTACAGGTAGATGGTAAGGGGAAATCAGATAGAGATCTTCCAGGCTCACATGCCTACAAAAGCAGCGACCCACCTGAGCAAAATATAACTGCTATCCATACTCATAGGGTCAGTCAGTGAGAATGAGAAATATGAGAGGATATATTGGTCATTGAGGCCCATTTAAACTGTTAAGGTTCTGTCTGCCTCTTTTTGCCAGCTTCTTCAAGCTTCTAGGTTTATAGGTACATTTGGAACATTATGTCTTTTCTGACTCACAGTAACACTTAATTACAATGTATTTTTCTCTCCATCAAATGCGAGATCTGTGATGGATCAAGTGCTGTAGTAAAAGGCAGGAGGATTACAGCGAATACAGGTAAAAACCTCTCAGACACAGAGACATGTTCCAGCTTAATGTCAGCTTTGCCAACAGTGCATCTACCTCAGTGAGAGCCACTTGTTTCCACTCACATGTATGCATTCATTACTGAGCTGAGCTTTTTTTTTCTCCCTTTGACTCACTATCAGAAAAGTTCTGTCCATTTTATCCCTGTTTTTCTTCTTCTGTCGCCCCTATCTTCTGAATTAAACATTTCTTAAAAAGGAGGACCGGGACAAATCAACGGGGAAAACATCTTGTGCTTGCGAGTGCTGCCACCTCATGCGCAGCACAGATGAACTGTTCAGAGTGTGAATCCAGTCAGCTCTGAATGACTCAGGCAGGCCTTGCATAAGGCAGAGACTCACAAGTCCGTCCCTTTTCCAGCTGGAGAGAAATGATCAGT